TCTGTGCTGGGCCCAGGGCACTGGCACAGAAGCCTTGTCCTCAGAAACACCCACACCTTGGCGGGAAGGAGCCAGCCCTTCACTTGGACCCCTGATGTGCCAACTTCAAGCGAGCCAATGAGCCGTACGGTTCTCCCTCTTCCCCCGGGCCATCGTGGCCGCCCTGCACTAAGGGCAGTTTCCAGCAGTGTGCTGAGACAAGGCTGGAAGAGGGACAAGTTCTTAATCACTACAAGAGAAACCCAGAGTCTGCCGTGCATATTAGACAAATTCCCAAGTGATCTTTTGCTGTTTCTAACCCTGATTTATTGCAGCCAGTGATTTAACCTTCAGCCTGTGGGTTTATCACTAAGATACTTTCAGCCTGGAAACACCAGTAAGACAATCTAGAGAGCTACCTGGCACTTACTGGGGAGGTGAAGCCCTTACACCACTAAATCCAGACATGAACATGACCCCTTTCAAGCCTTTCTCTTAGCATTCGATACTGGCTTATGTGTTCATTGAGTATTCCTCTCTAGCTCTTGTACAAAGGCAGCAGCAAAATGTTCCCTATTTGTTCAAAGTGGGAGCTTTTCCGTATTTCTACATTAGCATCTTTTCATACATGGTGAAATGCAGCTGTGTCTGCTTTTCATCAAAAATCCGATGTTTCTGTTAACGCCTTCAGGCCATTCTCGTGATAACCCCTCCCCACCAAAGTCACGGGAGGACGAGCATCGGTCCTGCCAGCGTAGTCCCACCCGGAGGACGCTGCTCTCACGCAACAGTCATGGGCTACATCCTGCCTCGCCGTCACCAGCCGGAGGCTTCGCGCTGGCTGGGGTTTTACCGGCACTGCTTGAATTCCCCTGCTCAGTCCTGCACAGATGGGTGCGACCCGCGCTTGCTCAGAGAGCAGCCAGCCACAGGGAAGGAGACAGAGACAGGAAAGCACCAGCTGGAGCCTGTTTTGGCCTTGGAGGCAGAAGCTGGATTTAGGCTGCTGTTTCTAACAGCTGAGGCCAGCGTGGTCTTAGTGACATTTACCTAAACGTTTCTATTTGCTTAAAGGAAGGGTTGGCATCACGGGTCTCTAGCGAGCACTGTTCCCTGCAGAGGATGTACTCTGGCCTATCTATACATAGAGTATAGATACACATACAGTGTGTATATATATATATACACATATTGTATACTCTATAGCATACAGAGTCACGGCCCTTCAGGACACTTATGCTGTGAAACAGAGATAAGGTTTGCCTGAAATACAGCGAGGGAAAGCCCAAGACCCATACGTAGGAAGCCAGGGGAGATCATGGAGATCACATAACACCAGAAAAACCTCACTGCAGACACTGCCATTACCTGGGGCCAAAGCAGGCTGCAGCCTCACTCAGGGAATTATCCTCTGCAGGTGGGGGTCCCCAGGGGTCCCGGCGTCCTTTCTGAGACACCAGTGCTTGCCCTGGCAGGCTGGGCGCCCTACAGCCCCCACCCCATCCCAAAAACCCTCTCGCTCAGGCAGTGTGAAGCTACAGGGTGCTCCTGATGCCTTACAGGAACGAATGAGCCCCATTATTCCTGGGTACCATTCCCAAGGGTGACCCGGATAATTATTGACTCCGCAGGAATGGGAGTCACTTTTACTCCCCAGTCTGTTTCCCAGTAACCCCAGGAATCAGTCCCGTCTTCCAGAGCTGCAACCACTTCTATTATAATAATGGCCAAGGAATTATGCCTGTCTAGAAATTACTTAATGTTTTTGTAATCACGCTCATTAATGTGCAAACAGAAAGCTAATTATGAAATAATACACAGAGTACGTCCAAAGAACACGACCTTCATAAAAGAAATCCAGGTTAGCATCCCGATTCCAGCAACCTAAACAGTTGTCTGTATTGTAAGTGGTGTTCTACACTTGAATTGCCAGTTTATTATCAGATGTATGAAAACATATTTTGTATCAAATTTGGACTACCCTATGTATGTTTTGCGCCAATGATTCATTAATCTGGAGAGAAATTAACTTTAAAACACTGTAGATATTGAAAATAATTTCCTTAAATATTCTCATATTAATAGTACATGGGATAGAAGGGAACTGATTGTGCCTGTCAGATTATAAAAACACAGTATTTTTGCCATTTAAAATGATGCAAAATAATGCATTATGCAACAGTTGAAATGTAACAGGGAATTAATTTATGAGTTCAAGACTGTCAGAAGTGGCACCAAGACATCTTAGTGATGGGCAAACTCAAGATCGATTACCTTTGATGAAAATCAGACAATGCAGAAACATGAATAATTTGAATATATTTCATTAAATCAATACGAACATCAACCGGGATGTAGACATTTTCAGAAGAGAAAGGAGAAGTACATACCTCAGCACTCCAGGACCCAGTTTCTGTCTTGGACACTCTGTAGGTATAAACGTAACCCTGGTGCCTGTGAAAAAAAAAAAATCGATAGGTATTTATTACTCATTTCTACCATCAGGGTTCACAAGAGGTACACTCTGTTATGTGGGAGCCAGTTCATCTGCTAACCTTTCCTTAAAAATAAATTCACCCCTAAAGGTGAATCCAGCTAGATAAAAAACCGGAGGCGCATGTCAGAAGCAGTGTTCAACCTGCTGAGTTCTTTTTGGATGAGAGGGATTGGTCTGAGTAAAATCTAGTTTAGCACTATTCTGGGTTAAGTGACTTTGCTTTCATTCCCACCTCAGCATTTTCAATGTATTTCAGTGACCTGCTTTTACTGACACACGCCAGACATACTTCCCCTGGAAAAAGAGAGGGTGTGTTCTTGGCAGAGAGCATCACTGTACTGTGATTGATTTAAATGCAGATGTTCCCAGAAGCAATAGCATGAGTGTAATTTATTTGGAAAGCTAGACCCACAAAAGCGAGGTAAATTACTCTTTGCCTTGCCTGTACACTGCTAATTCTCAAATACTGATAAAGGAGACTTATAAAAGTGCAGAATCTTCCTTCTTTTTAAATCCTATTTAGTCTTTCGAGAATAAGGAGTCAAACACTAATAGCACAAGACATACTCATGTCCAGAGTCAGTCTTGCTTCTCTTACGAACCCAACACAGCGAATGATTTACATGGTGGCTTATTACACCAATATCTACAAATTTAACTCAGAAGCCAAGATAATTGATACGAGTTCCGTGGGCACAAGGTTCGTTTAGACAGTATCAGATAAGAAAGATTGTATTTCACACTGCACAGATTTACATTAATACACAGCAGGATTTTAGGGACCATTCCCTATTTCAGCATCAATTCTTCTTCTTAATAAAGCAGAAAAATACTGTATTTCTTTCCAATTATACATGGTATTATAGTAGTTACTACAAAACAGCAGAAACCATCAATGACACAGATACCGTATGATTGTAATTACTTACGCTCTGTGTCATGGCTCCTGGATAAATTCTTGTTAAAAAGTCATTACGGCAACCTCTGCAAAGTGGTGTCTGATATAATTTACCCAAGCAGGAAGTTGTTAACAGTTGTCACACTGCTATAACCCCACAAAGCAGGAGCAAAAATGCCTGTCGTGATTTGCGAGCTCTCCCTCCACCACTCGACTCCCACTGTGATAAAATAGGGAGGCGGAAGACACAAAGCGGTTCCGTCCCATCGGGGCTGCTGCAGGGACCAAATCCCCGTGAAGCAGCTGAGGCACAGCCCTCCTCCTCCTCCTCGGGTATGGGAAAGTGATTGGTGCAGACCCACAATCCCACCACAACCTCATCCACGTCTTCATGGTGAGCATGGGACCATTTTCCCCAGAGATGCAACTTTCCACCGGGCACCAGACGGACATGAAAGGTGCCCAGCTATACTCACTCCATGGAAACCTAAGGAGCAAACCAGCTGCTTCTTCCCCCAGCAAGCTCAACTGCTGCAGTCCATCAAGGATTTGGACAAGCCCAGAAAGGGCATTCGGGAAGAGATGTGAGCAACCCGCTGTGGCTGCGGGAGGAGGGAAGGACGTGGAAGGATTACACGGTTCTCCTGGCCATGCCATGGCACCACGGTCACAGGTGTTTGAGGCCACAGCTCAAGCCCAGTTGTTTAAAAGCACATCCCTCTCAGCCACTAGATATGTTCATGCTCAGGGAATCCAATGTCTCCCGTTAGGGCCCTTAGACCATCTCTTACTATCACACCCTTTCTTAAAACCTCTGAGCGCTGTGCCTCTTTTGTCAGCTTTTCATGAGTAGCTGGTGTTCACACCAGTATTGTCTTTTTAGAAATCACGAGGGGCTTTCCTGCACCTACATATGTAGTACACCAGCCAATATATGGTTACTGAAACCAGCACTGTACAGGCCATAGTGTACTGGGAAACACCAGAGAGGTCCTGGCATTTTGTCGCCTCTCTTTGAAGTGGGTATCTGACCATTTCCACACTGATTTTTTTCAAGCCTCAAAACCAACAGAATCAGTATGTAAAAATCTAAAACTCACTCTCTTGCCTCCTGTTTTTAAGAATACACTGTGCATATTACCCATGCTTGTTCTTGGTTGTCCCAAAGCATTCTCACTGCTTCAGTCTCTTTAAAATCGGATTTTTCCACAAATGGCTCAGTTGCCTGGAAAGCTACCATCTGTTGTTTCTTCCATCATTTGCTCTATCTAAGGGATTGCAGGACTTGAAGTGGTTGAGGTGCTGGGGTGCTGCCCTGGCTGAAACGTCTGATGGCTTTCAGCACTCTGCCAGAAGGGCTTACTAAGCTGGACAAATTGAAAAACAGAGGTCAGATAAGGTAATATTCAGGGCCAAAGCAGGGTAAGGTGCAAGGTAGCCACTTATCCTGCATTTTTAAAAAAAATCTACTTTAAAATATTTCAGCTGGGCCCAGAGAAAGCACAAAGGATAGCTCAGATTGAAAACCCATGGGATACAGAAAAAGGAACAAGAATTCGGGAGCATGGACAGTGTGAGCACAGCGTGGAGAAGGGGAGGAGTACGGCATTGCTGTCACAGCCTTGCGAGGGACAAGTGAGAGCTCTCCACTCACCTAACAAACATACATGTTTTTCCCAGAGGGGGAAAGACTGAAAGGCCTGAAGGGGTTCGCTGTGCTTAAGCTGAAAAACACGTTATCATCTGTTGTTGGCTCTGAGGCCACCAGTAATCACAGCCACTGTGCAGATGGGAGATGGCCCAGGACCACCACACCTGCATCTTCAAAGGAACTGCACAGAGGAAGGAGGACGGATTTTATTAAGAAGGTGAACAGCCAGATCTTCCCATCTAGCTACTTTCCATTGGAATCTTTGTTTCTGCAAAATGAATTACAGCTCTTCTGATAAGTAGACGAGTATGATCTTATCAAAACTTTCTGTTAAGCAGCAGGAGCTTACTTCATTACCACTTCAAAGTGCTTTTTACCTTCCATGTGCGAGTGACATGATTTTGATGAGCCAAGTTCTCTTTACTGCTACATTGGCACAGCCTCCTGTGAGAAAGGTTTGTATGATTTAAACTACCCAACATTAACTGAGATCAGTGTGGTCTGAAGGAAGATCAAGGTGTTTTTCTTAAAACACAAATTAAATACAGAAATTAAAATTGAGATTGTATAGAGAATTATCTTCCAGAGAGCAAAACACATAACACTGGGCAAACGCAGGTGGAAAAGTGCACTTACTGGATCTTAGGCTTCAGGAGATGAGAAATTCCCCAGCCACCATGAGGACAGAGCTCAGTTTTCTGCCTGTTACTCAATTCATAGCAGAAAATGCTCCTAGGGTGACTCGATGATTCTATGTGTGGTGTAGCCACGTAGCTAAAGCCAAAACTCAAACATCTGTGGCCTGGGCATGCTGCTAGTCACTTGGGGCCGCTTACACGGTTTCTGCTTTGAGACTGTTACCTGGTGAGATGCAGGCCAAGTCCACCTCTCTGTGACCTGAACTCCTCTCTCTGCTGGACAAAATCAACAGGAGATGGACACACATCACCGAGGGAAGGGTTTGAAAGAGCACTCTTACAGTGACATTGGGGTGCTGGCATATCTTGGAGGAGGACCCGCTCTTGACACCCAGGTAAAGACCCAACAAAGGGCTCCCCCATCCCTTCATCTGCCCAAGGACAGCCGCAAGCCTCACACACAATTGCAAAGCTCCTCTTTCATGCCAGTGAAGCTCAAGGGGTGGGAGTAACTGTGAATGAACAGTTTAATGAACAAGGCGCTATAAATTTTTGATCAAAGGCAAAAAATGCCAATATGATGATGAAGGGAAGGAGAAAACAGCCATTGTTGTAAGGACAACATTGGATAGCACTTACAGAAGAGTGGGTTGATCACCACTGATGATATTTTTATGCCATCTCACTGATTTGTTCATCTCCATAACAAAGCATGAGTTATACCAGCTGGGATCTGCACTAGCACTCTTTCTGTACCATCACTGGGAGAACTTTGTCAAAGGAAAATGTGGAAAAAGTTACTACTACAGGAAGCAGTCCACTTTATATTATAGGCTTTTTTCTTTATAGCTGGATAATTCTTCCCAAAGAGCTACAAAGGCATCATACACAGATGACATACTGAGACAGCATCTGTCTACCTGTCCTCTCCACTCCTCCTTTTCAACTGTGATCAGACTTGTTACAGCTGCATTTACTTTAACAGGTGAATAATTACAATCTTCTGCACCATTGAAATAGCCAGAGGATATTAGCCACATGCTGCAGATTAAAATTAACCATGACATTTCAGCTGCATGGTGTATTTTAAAATAATTTCCAAATGTTTCGTATCTCAGTTGGGAAATTTTATTAATCTAATTTGTATTCGTTTCTGGGTCCAAAATAGAACAAATTTAAAGGGAGAAAGACTGAGAGACACGAGAAAGCCATGTCAGCAATAAATGACATACACTTCTTTCTCTTTACATAGCTTTCTATTCTGATGTCTTTGCACTGTATCAATCAGCTCTTCTGGTATATTTGCATCCTGACCTTACCTTGGAATTTCACTTTGCAATATTGCTTCAGAACCAAACAGTGGTGTGGCCTACAAACTGTGGTCCTGAGCATTGTACACTGCCCATACTCAGTTTCTTAGAACTTTGCCACATTTCAGCCTTTCAGACCGAAATTTTGTCTCTTAGGTGTTTGCCTCAACCTTTTTAGGGAAGAATGCAGAAGTGCCATAAAAGGGGACATGTTAGGAAACACAATGCTCTTCCCATGTTAAAAAAATATAATTTTCCAATTGTTGGGGGTTTTTGCCCAGTTTTAGAGTCAGATGTAAAATGTGTTTGAAGGAAGGCATATCTCTTGAAGAGCGAGAAAGCAGTGGTAGGCTGCAAGAGCGGCGTCCTCTGAAGGCTGATAGCAGTGGTAGCTGCACCATGCCTCGGCTGGCTGTACCATGGGCACTCAGCTAAGCGGTGTCAACGATCTCAAGTCATC